TATGGGTAAATAGTTGCTGAAGTGTGTCACAGGCCACATACTCTGGAAGCACAGTCTGTGACTGTCTGTGTATAATCTGTTCATTGGGAATCTGCACTCAGGAAAGGAAGAGAAAAGAAGTTGTGTTTGGCAGTAGAAGTGAAATTTCAACATAACCTTGCAGAGCATGTATAAGCTAGTAGAGAGTTCTGGAACAAGCATCACTGGTAAGTATTATCTTACTCAGATGGAAATGGCTGGACCTTAGTGGCCAGGCCATCATCTTCCTACCTCCCTCACCACTGGATGTGGGCTGCTCAGAAAAAGCATGATGATGGGGGAAAAGCTCTCTACAACTGAGGCAGAGACTGATGGTGTTGACAACTAGAGGCTGCCACCTGCACCCCTTAGTATTCTAGGCAGCAAACCTCCTTGAAAGAGAAATCCAAAAGCTGCCTCTGCATGGCTACAATACCTGAGTAAAGGAAGCAGTTCTGTTGATTGCCCTCCCAGGCCACACTACTATGTGTCTGTGCCAGTCTGGAAACAATACAACTAAGCGGATTTTTTCTGGACTCAGATTAGTCTCCAGTGAACCCTGGAAAAGTAAATTCCTAGTTCTAGTATGAGTAGGTATAATAAATTCAAAATGGCTACAATTTTTCAAATATATCTCTCATCACAAACTGGAGTATTGCGCTGGAGTTGTAGCTCCATGGCGAATGCTCACCTAGCATGTGTGAGGCCCTGGGTTCGATCCTCAGCACCATATAAAAATAAATAATGGTAATGAGTCCAATGACAACTAAAAACTAAATATTAAAAAAAAGAACTGGAGGATGTGTCCCTTTTCCCTGAATGCATTGGCCTTTGAGTGATTTGGTCTCTGGGCTATATAAAAAGAAGCACTGTAAAAATGTAGATGTGTAACCAATGTGATTCTGCAATCTGTATATGGGGTATAAATGGGATTTCATAACCCACTTGAATCAAATGTATGAAATATGATATGTCAGGAGCTTTGTAATGTTTTGAACAACCAATAATAATAATAATAATAAAAGAAGAAGTACTATGCTAAGTTTAGGTGTGACTTTAAGAGAACTTACCCTCTAGAAGCCTTGTGCTAACAAATATGATCCAACTGCACTCCTGGAGAGATCACACAGAGGAGCAGCAAGAGTATGTGGAAATGGAGGAGGACCCATGTAAATCTCTTCTCCCATTTTCTGTAGCCTTAGACAGATCAATCAGAATCCTGATGGCACTGAACTGGACCTGGAAGGAAATACTTTCTGTTCTATCCTATGCTTGGCTTTATAGATGAGAGAATGGGCAATAGAGAGAGGGTATCAGTGAAGAACAAGTGATCTGCTACTCTCATCCTCTGTTGCATAGA